ATTACCGTAAGTTCATTAAAGACTTCGCAAAATTAACTAAGCCTTTAACAATTTGCTTAAAAAAGTATGCTAAGGTAGTTCACACTGAAGAATTTGTAGATGCTGTAAACAAATGTAAGCAGATTTTAACCAATGCTCCACTCTTACAATATCCAGATTTTGACCAGCCATTCATTCTGACAACAGATGCCTCCGACGTAGCAATAGGTGCAGTCCTATCTCAGGGAAACGTTGGATCGGACAAACCTGTAGCCTTTGCCTCTCGGACCTTATCAGATACAGAGGCTAGGTATTCAACAATAGAGAAGGAACTACTGGCCATAGTTTGGGCCATTAAATACTTTAGGCCGTACTTATATGGCCGAAAATTTACGATTTACACTGACCACAGACCTTTGATGTGGCTTATGTCTTTAAAAGACCCAAATTCTAAATTAACACGCTGGAGGCTTAAACTCGCTGAATATGATTATAAGGTAGTTTATAAAAAGGGCAGACAGAACACAAATGCGGATGCTCTATCTAGGGCAAAAATCTATCATAATAGTATGGACTCCCTCGCCGTAAACTTTGACGATAATTACGACGACGGCATAATTGACAGAATTTTTGAAAACGCTCGTAGGGAAGCGGCAATGCAACAAAACGACAATAGAGACAATAATAATGATAATAGGGACACCAACAATGACAACCAAACCAATAACGATAGCGATCAACATAGTGAAATGAACCAAGACGTACCATCTGAAAGTGGCAAGACTGAACAGACAGATGCTGACCAAATGAGTGTTGTGACTGTTGAACCCGACCAACTGGTTTCCACCAAACATACGCAACCTGATAATGATAACGTAGGTATTCCGACTTTATCAGATGCTATTGACAGACAACTCAAACAGTTTCACATAAGATCGACCCCAGGTTCGGAGTATAGAGTTGAAAATAGGTCGACTAGCACTAGGATCGTTATCAAAGACGTATTTATTCCTATAAATAACACAGAAGCAGAGATAATTAGGTTCCTCAAAGAACACACAATAGCAGATCGTGTTTTTCATTGCTATTTTTACGAAGAACATCTATATTTGGCTTTTTCAAGGGTATACACGACCATTTTCAATGATAGAGGACCGAAACTAATAAGATGTAGTTCTCGTGTTACTTTAGTTGAGAACAAAACAGAGCAGCAACAGCTTATTAAACGGTACCACGAAGGCAAAACATCGCATCGCGGTATTCAAGAGACACATAAGCAACTCCATAGGAACTATCACTGGCCTAATATGTTACTATCAGTACAAAGATACATCAACCAGTGCGATATTTGTTTAAAAACTAAATATGAAAGAAATCCCCTAAAACCCCCACTAGCTCTAACACAAACTCCCTCTAAACCCCTGGAGCATCTATTCATGGATCTCTATTCTACTGGAGGTGCTACATTCCTAACCATAATAGACAACTTTTCAAAATTTGCTCAAGCCATACCTTTAAACGCCGCAAGTAGTGTACACATTGCAGAAGCTCTAATTCAAGCATTTTCAGTACTAGGTCTACCTTTAAAAATAACAACCGATTCAGATACTAAATTCGATAATGACGTAATTAAAGAAATATGTGCTTCACACGATATTAATATCCATTTTACGACACCGTATAATCCAAATTCTAACTCTCCCATTGAACGATTCCATTCAACCATTGGTGAGATTATAAGAATACAAAGAATGACCAATAAAGACGACCCAATTCAACAAATAATGAACTATGCGGTCATAGCCTATAACAACTCAATTCACTCTGTAACGGGCTATACACCAAGAGAACTATTATTTGGGCACACTGCTTCCCGAAACCCCTTAGAATTATTTTATCCAAAGGAATTCTACCAGGACTATGTTCTTAAACATCGTAAAAACGCTGAGGCTGTACAGGAGTGCCTAGCGGCTCACATGTCTAGGAACAAAGAACAGGTAATAGCAAAGCGCAACCAGGCTGCAGAAGAGATCACCTTCAAGGTAGGTGAAATAGTTTATAAGCAGGTTGCTAAGACGGCGCGCAACGACAAGACGAAGCCTGTATTTAAAGGCCCATACAAAATAATCCATCTCCATCCTAATAACGTTGCAGAAATTATAGGCAACCATCCCAACTCAAAATCTATTAGGGTACATTATAAGCTTCTACGAAGACCCCATCTTGTTCCAGGACCCTCATCGCAGGAGCCTGTGTGCTCAGCGCAGCAGCCAACTTGACCCTTAACCCAGTAAATAATGACAATGGAGTGTTGCTACTTAAACAAGGTCAAATCCTTAAGCAGGTCGACACTTTTGCTCTGGCCTGTACATATAATGTGACGTACTTACATGAAGTCACATCTCGGATTATCTCACTCTATGCTAGTACCAAAAGCGCCGAGAATAGTCTAACACCTGGTAGCAACGATATCCACTATAGGACATACAAGGATCAAATAGAATTTAGTCTTAATTTAATCGGTAAGAAAATTATGTTTATTGCACCCCATAATAGAGTTAAGCGTGGCATAATAAATGGGTTAGGATCTGTTGTCAAAGCAATTACTGGAAATTTAGATTACGAAGATGCCGTTAAATTTGAAAATGAGATAAGCAGTCTACGTCATTCTGTTAGTAAAATTCAAAATTCACAGAAAAAGTCCTTATTTTTAGCCGAAAATACAGTAGGTGAATTTAATAAACAAATACAGGTCATAAATGAAAATGAGAAAAAACTAGGTAATTTATTGAAGAATGCCACTATTAGTAATAATCTAGTTTTAAATCGCATGCACTTCTTAGATTTATATATACAAATAGAATTTAGTTTACAGCTTCTTTTAGATAAGCTCATAGTTTTAGAAGATGCGATAACTTTTGCACAGTTAGGCGTAATGCATCCAAGTATAATAGCACCCCAGATCTTAATAGAGGAAATCCAAAACATGCAGAAATCTAATAACTTTAAAGCAGTAGATAGCATTAATATGAAAAATATTCATAATATTGAAAAGTCTATTACCGTAAAAGCGTACAGCACAGAACACACATTGACATTTATTTTAGTAATACCTTCTGTCGATGCTAACACATTTGACCTAATCCACATATATTCCATCCCCGATAAACAAAACCTTACCATAATCCCCAAGTCCAAATACCTAGCACTGGGTAGCGAGGAGTACTCTTACCTGGACGAAAGCTGCAAGAAGATCACCCAAGACACCCATCTGTGCACATCACTCAACACTCAACCCCTGGATAAATCTGAAGACTGCATAATATCACTAGTCAAGCACCAGACGGCCAACTGTACACGAGCCAGAATGAATCTCAAGCGAGGGTTAGCCCAGAAAATCGAAGACAATAAATGGCTGATAATACTAAAGGACGAAGAAATCCTTAGAAGTCATTGTGGATTGAAGACGGAATATAAGAAGATCTCGGGTATCCAGATAGCCACCATATCAAGTGACTGTCAGCTTGAGATCCTTAATAGAACACTGAAAACAAACACAGACGCCATAACCATAGATGAAATCATCCCGCTACCAAGTGGATCACTTATACCAGAGGAGAGTATCCACTACAATCTACAGCTAGAAGATATTGCATTAGACAACATCCATGAGTTGATGGATCGTGCAGAGGATATCCTGTACGAAGACGACCTAGACTGGAGAACCACGATGGCTACACCCAGCTTCACGACGCTTGGACTCTACTTCATCCTCACCGGAACCCTAACTTGGAAATTATACCAATGGAGGCAACGCAGACTACAAGCATCCCGAGAACCAGCAGACACCAGACCCACAGAGCAGATTCAATCGGAGAGTACAAGTAGCGAGGACGCTACAGGAAGCTGCGGGACTCGCTTCCAGCTTAGGGAGGGAGGAATTAAGCAATCGATCAGCCCGTACCACCACTAAACCGATTGCTGATGAAGCCGATCAAATTGCATAATGATGAGTAGAAGTTAAAGTGCATATTTAGCATTATGTTATTTTATTAATATAATTAATTATAAGTTAGTCTTGTAGGATAATTCACTAAGTAAACACCTAGTAATAAATAAATCTTTTTTTAATTAAATTCCTGATCGCCGTTATCTAACTCGCTTCATGCAAAAAACATTCACAAAATTTTGCAGCATACGTTACAACACTACCTGCTACTTTGTGACATCTTGACGTAAGGATGCTACCCGCGCCCCTGAATCATTTATAAGCTTGCAAAATTCGTCGCAAGTCTAGTCTACTATTTTAAGTTCTCGTGTCTCATTGTGAGTTTATTTAAATATTTGTGCAAGATTTTGTTACTTTTTATAATTATGTTTTAATGTTGGCTGTTTTATTTTTTATAATTTTAATTCTAACAATCAACTTATCTTGTTAATTAAATTGAATACTTGCTTAAATTATTAACACAATGAAAAATAAAAATAAAAATATTGTAATAAATTTACGTAAAAAAACTATATCTAATTAAAGTTCCCAATTTTTATCGGTTCGCGAATTGATCGAGTGACAGCCCTAAAAGCTTCATCTGCCACTTGAACGATCGAAAGGTACGACGGCGCGCCGGTATCAGGAAGGAATGTACAGTGGGTGACTTGAACAGTTCCTGTCCCATTCGCTCCCAACCGGCTTTGCCTAAGCTAAATTTGTACGCCGTCTCATTCATACACACCAACATTTTCAATACTTACCTGCGTAAAATGATATACATCTGTTGCGGTATCAACCTCTCGCTCGCACCTACGGCCCTAAATGCATTGTTGATATACGCGTCTCGCTCGGACGTCTCATGAACAGGGGGTAGACGGTGTTGGTGCACGTTTGTGTTGGTGTTCGTTTATTTAGTGAACTTGGAAGCTCGCTTTCGTGTTTGTGCATAGGGTGTCGGGTATGATTGTGTGCGTGAGTTGTAGAGGCGCGACATAGCTTTGCCGTCTCCATGACTTAAAAGTTTTGTACGGAATGAGACCTGCGAGCTAGTTCTGCGCCGGCCGGCACGCTTGATGCACGCGTGTGGGACGCTCGCGTCCAACTTCTTCGTGAATCTACGAGTTTTAAAACTTGTTTTATAAAACATTTTAACTTGAAAGTTATTGAACTTTATTTTATTTAGTGACGATTAACATTAAGTTGATGAATAAAGTGGTTATTTCTTGTCGTAAATAGTGTGTTGTTTATTTTTTTCTGTGAAACTGCAACGTGTTTGGTTCAACGGACTACGGAGGAGGTTGGTCGTCGTATTCTCGTGTATATTGTGCATCAACCAAATAACTCCGGCATATTTTGTCTCTTATTCACGAAGTTTACTTTTGATGTTGACCGCCGCAGAACAGTTGGATATAGTTATTAAATAAGTTTTCTGTGGCAGTAAAAGTTAAGTTGTTAGTTATAATGTAAAGTATATATTCAAGGCAATACTCATGTGTTATTTATAAAACATATCTGTGGACTTAGTAAACTTTTAAATTACCCGCAAAGTAATAAATTTTTACTAAATCCTAGTAAAAAAATCCGGCACTAACTGTGACACATTCAAGTTATAGGAAAGATATTATTGTGTAATGACCATCACGAATTTTGTGAGCGGTCGGTTGAGTTGAACAACCTGGGAGGACGCAAATAGACACAAAACAGACAGTACACAAATGTACGGTAACGGCTCACAAACTGTTCCCCTTTACAAATCATAGGCAGGCCTTTAACTTGCTCAAATCATATTTATGAAACTAGATTTCTCTTCAAGAAACTACTTCTTTAAGTTAAAGTTAATACCCATCTACCTGACTGTACAGATTTTAGACGTTAATTTTGTATTGTTTATAGTTATTTTAAGATCTAATAAACGCTTTTATAAATATTGTAACATTTTATATTTTCTTTAAAAAAGATTATTGTAAATTAATTAGTGAAACATAAATGAAACCTGTTAAAGATGTCTTGAAAACAGTATCAAAGAATTTTAGAATCTTCTTGTACCTAATTTTAAAGTAAAGATGAAATGTTACTGAGTACAATATTTCAAAAAAAGCAATTAAAATGAGAAGGTCAGCACTAGTGATGTTAGAATAAATTTTCCACGATTCTACGAAACAATTTAGCTAGAACTTTGATAGACTCTAAACTATAAACCCCAATAAAAAAAATATAAAGAAAAAAATATTTTGTGAACCAAATATCTGAACAATTTTATCAAATTCAAAGTTAAAAAGTCTTATTTAAACTAAGGTTTAAACAAATATAACTAACACTAATGATTTGAAATTTAAAGTTTTGTATATTCACATTTTAATTAAGGTGCCTACGCCATAAACAAAACGTCATAGTACCTCTATATAAAATATGGCAAATTGAGTAAAAAATTAAATATACATATTTGAAAAAAAAAATAGCGATAGGTATACTATACCCATTTATCTAAAATGTTTAAATATAAAAAAAACAATATAAATAATTCTACTGACATCCTTATTTGCCCAACGGGATGACCAAATAAGATTTTTCCTCCAAAGAACAAGGTTTAAAAACCTTTTTTAAATTAGGACAGAACAAGGTGCTAAAATGAAATGTTAAAAATTTTTACCTTTAAAAAAATGCCAGAATTGTTAATTAACAAAAAATGAGTATTGTTAATACTTATACACCTATATCTCTAAAAATATATCAAATTTGATTGTAGCTATTTATGAAATAAACAAAAAAAAAATTAAACTGCTATTGAACTAGCTATTTATCAAATAAGACTTATTAAAAAAAATATATAGTATAGTGTATGTAGGTACTATAAGTACGACAATAGGGCTGAATAGTCTAGACACACACGTCACAAAATAAAAAAATCGTTTTTTTTTTGTACGTAAAATACATATAAATAATTCACCGTTTATAGTTATTAATTCATAGTCTATAAATTAACATGGCATAATGTTATGTCTAATTTAACCTAACAAAATATTCTAAAGTAAACAGTAAAGCTGAAAAGACGAACATTAGCATAATTATGATAATAACTCAACAAAATATGATACGTAATTAAAACACATTTGCGCTATTAAATAATTAAGACACTTCGAATGTATACATTAAACAGTAATGAGAAGGAAAATATGCATACAAGACAAATTAACAGGATAACAGAAAGTAAAATTGTGAAAAGCAAATATAAACCCAATAATTGTGATAATAGATCATCTGAAGCCTAAGCTGAGTTCATTTCAATCGGCGTAATACGGTCCAGAGCAACCATAAGAGAGGTCAATAGCATTACGACGGTCCCGAAGTTCGTAAAAATCTCATTCCATAACGTACTAAACTCAACCCCGCAGATATCAAAGTGGTCATAAAGTCCCCTTGCATCCCGTCAGAAGAATTACTAACATTGCCACCTTGTTGTTCCTCCGTGTCCTAAACAATTGATATCTCTATTTGTATCAATAAGACGGGTAGCAGACGTTTACGTGAATTTCGTACGTGCCTCGAATTCAGAGCCATGTTGGACGGACGTAGCATTTATTGAAACTATTGACATTTATACTAGGTTTATGGATCGTTTTTGGGAAATATATCGGAATCATATTTGTGATAACTGTTTTATTGGGGCTCGGTAATGGTATTGAGGGTTATTTTTGTAACAAATAATGATTAAGGAGTAAATATGGAGTCAATTAATGAAAATATAAGTATTTTAATATACATGATGTATCCTTTATTTTAGATTGAATAGTTACTTCTTGAACTATGAAGAATTAAGTATTCTCTTATATTAATTCTTTATAATCTAGGTAAATTAACTATGCAAATGATTCGATGAAGATCCTACTCATCAAGGTATCCTTGTCATTTCAACCTGGGATTACCCACAGCGGGGTAAAGGCTAAATTAAGTAAGCCTAACAGTCATTTCAGTTTCTGTTAATAAATAAATAAGGTAAAATTTTTATTACAATCTTTTAAAAAGAGATAACTACTGAACAGACTAATTTATCAATCAACTGTACTAATGGTAATAAAATATTATGTTAGGCCCGATGCTAAGTTTAATTTTAACAATAGGAATAACTTTAAATATTTGACATTTCTTCCTAATTTAATTTAATTCTACATTTGAGATCTAACTGATAATTGAAAAACCAGCCCTTAGTCGAACAAAAATTAACAGTTTAAAACAGCAGTCTCTATTAATTAAAACTAGCATAATAATAATATAAAGCATACCACCATAAAGTTAAACCAACTTATGGTGGAATTTAATATTAATTTATGTTCGTATAGGTCTGCATAGAGACGTCGGACCATCCCTTTGAATCTAAGAACATTTCTTGAGGTTGCGGTCTGATCCAATAACTCTGTTAGTACCATTTAATTGATTTTGTACAACAGAAACTAATTAGAATTGAGGTTTATGTAACCGAACAGTATTAATAAGTTATCGTGTTGACCCTAACATCATCTCGTCTTATTAATCCGTTTTGGTTAATTGAATTAATTAATATTTGCCACGTGTGCGTTTATGATTGCCTAGTACCTATACAGGTTGGGCTTACTGAAATTGAAATAAACATAAATAATTATGATTAGTGAGTAATAAAATAAAGTATGTTTTATTTCCAAATTAATAACTAATTGTTGGTTTAGTTATTCATAAAATTATACGGATATTTTCTTGTAAATTAATCCATAAGAATCTTGTAAATTCAAATATGATATTCATATTTTTATATTTCTTTTATGTGTCTATTTTACGTAAAACGTTAAATATAAAGAAAAACATAAAAGAAAGTTATTTAAAGTATGTACGAAATACGTATGACAAAATGTTTTCTTCAAATAAATAATTGCTTAAAGTCAAGTGTATAAAGCACCAAAGAATCAAATCACCGAGTTAATATAATAAACAAACAAATGTTATGTACAAAGCAAAATAAAAAAGCAATTTGTAGTAACAAATAAAATTCTTACGAATTTTTTATAAGAAATTGCTTAAAACTCTTTCGATCATAAAAAAAGGCTGGATAAACTATTGAAATAGCTTTCTTTGAAAAACGTAGCTTTATGTTTATTTTTCGAATTAATGATGTTTATCAGGCATACTTTTATACTTGAATACATTTTATGCAGTTCATATTTTCAAGAAAGTACATAAAAGAGATTTAAGTTATCGTCCTTTCTATTACAATTCTTAGTACAAGGATTGACTGACATTTTGGTGTCCTTGTATAAATAATAAAGATACGTTATAATTTTTAATCCATTGAAATTAACGTAGAAAATAGTAAACTTTGTAAAAACACTGATTCTAAAGAATGACAATTTCTCCATAAACGAACACGTTGGATAATTAGAAAATATTTTAAACTAGCTATATAATGAAACAGTTCAGAATATTAAAGACATTCAAAGAAATAATAAAACTAAATTAGGTAAAGCTTCACCATAAACTAAAATCAGTCGTAATATCTTCTCGATATAAATCGACCGTATTTAGTTTCACACTATCGAATCAACAATATTTAAACAGTTCTCGGCCTAAGGAGCTTACAATTCGCTATTAGAGTATTAATAATTCATAACTTATTTTTGGGGGCGCTCATATCGTTTATGGACAATTCTACTTAATTTTGCTTGTATGGCTACTGTACGTTAACGATTGATTAATTCTCGATTTAAGTCGTCTCGTGTTTATATTTTCATATCATACTACACATTGTAGAGGTAAATGTCCGTTACAGCCAATAATTCTGAAATATTTGTAATACTAAACGAATGAATCTCTTAAAATAATTTTAATACTTGTTCGAATTTGTGACCATTATTAGATTCAGTTTATCTATTTAAGTTTTTATCCATACATAGATAAAAATTTCATGTTTGGGCCCACCACGACTGATTGAAATAGGTAGTATTTAGTTTAGTTCGTTTCCTATGATTAAAACAAACACAAAAACATTTCTAAATGAGTGTAGGTGCTCTGGAGTTGGTTTTGTTAAAACTTAATAATTTAATTCTCGAACTCTCAAAACCGGTTTCAGCCATATTAGGACTGAAAATGGAGATAATCACTTTATCGTCCATTCGCTTTTTAGGTTTCATAAAATATTCTTAAGTTCCATGAATAGCTAAAATTTAAATTGGGTATTGTGTTGAAAATTGTCTGTGTAATAGATGGCATTCGTCACCAACCCCAGTTTGCCTGCGAGTGTAGCAAAAACTGACTAATGAACTACACGTTAGA